CTGGTCTCTCAGGTAAATACAGATTGAGGCTTTTTATAAAGGCATATTATTTCCCTCATTAAATGTGTGTTTTGGCACATGCGTTATTTACCTGACCGACAGTAATGGCTGCAGAGGAGCCATTGGTGTCTGTTGTGTAAATACTCTGCACAGAGACCATCCTCCTGGGGCTGTGGCTCAGGCCTGTTTCTCCAAATCTGACTAGCCCTGTGGCAGTCCTGTTTACCCCTCCCCTGCCCCTGGAGGGCTGGTCCCTTCATTTTTGAGAAGGGAATCATTCATTTTCCTCCTTGCCATAAGCTACTTACTATTGTTAATTTACTAGGAGAAATAAAAGGGTACCTAAGAGTAAGTGGTGTAAATCTTGGTCTCTGATGAAAGGTTGTGTGCAGAAAAACACAGAATCATAAACTGTTTTTCTGTGTTTTGCCCCTCACCTAGATACTCAAATCCCAGTTGATAATATAAGTTCTAGACTTATATTCTGCTAACTTATGACTAAAGTATAAAGACATCAATAGAAAAGAGAAACCCTAGAAGCCGGAGAAAACGAGGGCAGGTGAAGCTCCATTGCCCTTAGGGCAGGGATGTTTCCTAAGAAGGCTCCAATGGGGGCAAGAGTGCCCAGGAGGGGGCACCAGTTGGGGCTCCGAGGGAGACTTGCCAGCCTCCCTGCTCGAGGAGAGCATGCGACGTGCATTCTGTGCACAGTGTGGGGAGATTGCCCTCTTACGTACTGTCTGTTCTCCATTTCTTTTTTTAAACAACATTGTGTATGGACTAAAAGATAAATTTTAAGAAGTTTGAATTAGACCAAATTTACATAAAAGTTGGAAATTTAATACAAATAAATTTTTTTGAACCATTTGAGAGTTATGTTATTGATCTAACGCCCCATCATCCTGAATACTTTGCATGTATTTCCTAATGCAAGAATATTTTTCTACCTAAACAAAATGGAACCATGAAAACTAGGAAATTGTCATTGATAACATTACCTCCATCTAATCCTCAAACCCCATTCAAGTTTTGCCTGTTGTCCCAGTAATGTTCTTTGTAGCAAAAAGATCCAATTCATAATTGTGCATTGCCTTTAGTTATCAAGTCTCTTTAATCTCCTTTAACTTACCTAAGTAACTATACCTTGACCTTCATAACCTTGATATATAATATATATATAAAAATATATATATTTATATTTAAATATATGTTTTCATTGATTTCAGAGAGGAAGAGAGAGATAGAAACATCAGTGATGAGAGAGAATCATCTATTGGCTGCCTCCTACACACTTCACTCTGGGCATTGGGCCCGAAACCTGGGCATGTGCCCTGATTAGGAATTGAACCATGACCTTCTAGTTCATAGGTCAATGCTCAACCACTGAGCCACACCAACCAGTCAATGACCTTGATACTTTTGAACATTATAGGCTGACCGTCCTTAATTAGGGTTTGTCCGATATTTTTTGATGATTATATTTAGGTTATACATCTTTGAATATCACAGGAATGATGCTGTGTTCTCAATGCATCTATATCTTGTGGTATGATATTATTAATAATGTCCATTTTGTTCAGTGAATTAAGGTGATGTCTGCCAGGCTCTCCCTTTATAAGCTTACTTCCTGTTATAATAAACATTCTATGGGGAGGTACTTTCAAATTATGTGGATATCCCTTATGAGACTTAGATTTTATTTATTATATCTTTATGAAGTCATAAGTTTCCTTTTTATTTAGCTCATTATAATCTATTAATATCATCATTTATTTTGCCAGATCCCCTTGAAACTGACTTCTGCATGTTTTTGATATGTTCTTATCATTGAGAATTTCCTTGCTTTCTGGCATAATATGTTCCAGGTTCATCTTGTCCCTTTCTCTACCAAAGCCCAGAAATCAGCCATTTCCCAAAGAGCTCTGGAGAATATTATTTAGAAGGCAACTGGGTTCTATGTGTACTCATTGTTATTGGAGTGTTGCTGCTCCTTGGTCCTTCAGCAAACAGAGCTAGAAAATATATTTGCTTGTGTTTGTATATTTGTATATGTACCTTGTATGTGTATATTCATACTCACATTTGTATCTAGCTTTATTTTTATTTATTATGTATCAGAAATTTATCTTTTCCTTTTTCCATATTTTAATTCTATAGTCTAATAGTGAGAAATGGGGTCTCCATGACCTTTAATATATGCCCTTCTTTAATTAATTCCTCTTTATATATCGTTGCCACTGCTCTTTCCCCCTCTTGGTGCCTTTTTTACCCTGCCCATGACTCACCACATTGGACTCTCCCACCACTCCCCATGGAGGCTCTCCACACTCCACATGGGCTCTGACATGCTACATCACACCTCCCTGCATCTGTATGGATGCCCTCCTCACCTACATGGGCTCTCATTCTAACCTCCAGACCCTTCTGCTTCCTCCACTCCCATCGTTGTTGTCACCTGCTAAAGCCATTAGATTGAATTTTTCAGTAAGGAAAGAGGAAGAGGTGCCCTCTGTTTCTTCACTTGAGTTGAACTTGGTTTTTAGAAGTAAGGAAGTATAGAACCCAGTGACTGCTGACATGTGGAGGCCTGGTCTACTAATGTCTGCTCTCAAGACTTCCTATAGGAGAAGCTATTTGATGTGGGTGAAATTAGATGAGAAAAGCAAGACCTGCCGGAAAAAGGAACTCTGGCCATTACTATGTTGTCCATGGAAGGGAATAGATATGGCATATGAGAGACCTAGAAATTCTAGGATGTAGGAGACATTAATGTTACTCTCTGAGGATGTGTTATGCGTGAAGTGGGTTTATAGGCCCAAAGTATGGGGATCTAGGTTTGACTAGGTGGGCATAGCCCAATAAGGCAGTAGTAATAACAGTAAGCTAATATTGATCTGTAATTTAGTTGTAATCTAGATTGGTGCTGGGAGTAGGTGAGTGTGGGTAGCTTCCATCTATTCTGCAGCCATCTTGGATTATCCCAATAGTAAGGTAATATTTATTGAGCCCTTATGTTCCAGACACTACTCTTAGTGCTTTACGTGTATCTTCTCATTTCATTCTCACTTAAGGAGTAGAAGCTGTTGTTACCATTTTACAAGTGAGGAGGAATCGAAGAATAGAGTTTGCCTATTGTGCCATGGTAAATAACTGGTAAAGCCAGGATGCAAACCTGAGCCCTCCTTAATCATGACACTTAATTGCCTGTAGCATCTGGCACAATAGATCTGGATGATTGTACATACACTTTATATACTGTATTTACACATGGGAGAATATAAGACTTTCAAAAATCCTTAGGCATGGCCTTACTTGGAGCGGTTAGAGAAAGTATCCGAAGGCCCTAAAGGACTTCACACCAAACTAGAAAGCATAATGTGAGCAGACTGGTGTCTCCTATCTCATCAAGGTTTCACTACTGTTCAGGAGTGGGTGATATGAAGAGTTATTTTGAATTCCAGCTTTCAAAGGGATATTGGCCCATTTGCCTTTCCAAGAGATTCCCTAATGAAACTCAAGCCAGCCTTTGTCTGCTCTGGGCTGAGTTTTGGCTGCATTTTTGGAGAGGCTGGGAAAAGAAGCAGTGCTTATGCAGGAATCATGAAGAATTTAAAATAATTTTTGGTCTTAGTTCTATTGAATCTACATGGAATTTCACTATAAGGGTAGGAAAATTGAGAATGCACAGTAGCATATATCCTAATAAATGTTCAGGCAAATTATTGTAGCTCATTCAGTGAGTTGGGATAGCCAAGATGAGAAGTGATACTTGATATTGTCCTTTGTCCACTCAGGTAGTAGTGATCTTGTTGCCTTTGAATATGCTCTGGACTTCACTGACTGCTCTCCCCTTCCACCCTTTGTGAGGGAGCAAGTGCCTGTTTGCAGCCTTTCAAAGACAAGCTTTTGGCTCTGTAAGCATGGGGTTCCAAAAGGCCTAAACTATGGCCATTTCTGTATTGGCTGTGAAATTTCTTGTCTGACTTTGAGGGAATTTGAGTATTTGGTATAAAAGAGGGGAAAACACCAAATTTCTGCTTTGTTCCTTTTTTATTTTTTTTAAGGAAGCTTGAGTTATTTAAAACTTAGGCTTTGATTTTTATATTTCGTTAGCCCTCTTAAGGAGCAGACATTCTGCAAATTTAAAGGGAAAACTTGAAAAGTCATTTGGATTTTTTTTTTTCTTGCACATGTTCACTCAGAAACTTTACTAGACTTTTAGCAATGCTCCCATTACTGCCACATCTGGGTTTTCTCTTTTTCTTCCCTATTTAAAAAAGTCCTGCAGTCATTCAAGGCCTCTAGTAGAGAGAGTGATTCTAAAGGCAGCAAACGGGAAGGCCTGAGGCTGTTGCCAGCTGTGCTCTGCAGGCATTTTCATTCTCCCAGGGTGCCACTTACTGGTGTGGGGGCTGGGGAATCCGCAGAATATCATGAGCAAACTCCCCTGAGATTGGCTCTGTTTGCTCTCACGTTGGAGAAGGGAGCAAGGTATGCGGAGATGTTAAGATAGACACAGACAGGAAAGCTAGGGGCAGATGGCTTGGAATGGAACCGAGGAGAGAATATTGGGTATTTTCAGCTGTCTCTCTGAGTCTACTTAGCTCCCAGAACTGATAGTGCAACTAGGTCCCTTCGTGTTACTTTGGGCACCTTAGCTTTAATGTTAGCTGCCACCACCTGAACGTGAACACAGAATTGTTCTCTCCTCTCTTTTGAGTGTGAGAGCTCCATGTAAAGATGAAGGCCAATGTTATTTTGAGAATGATCTGGGAAACTCTAAGCTGTCATAATGCTGCAGGGACCAGTAGTAGGGTCTTGAACATCAGTAATGAATACAGTGATTAAGAAAAGGGGCACAGAAACAAATGGGAGTGGTTCATATTGTGTGACTAACCCTAAAGACGAAGCGTAACAGGGCCATAGTGGGAGGGGAGTAACCCAGGCTCTCTGTATTTTTGTTTTTGTTTTTTTTTGTTTTTAATTTTTCCTCCCCTAAGTTTTAGATGCTTCTGGATGTTCAATGCTAGCACCTTTGCAGACTGGAGCAGCTCGATTTTCTTCATATTTACTTTCAAGAGCAAGAAAAGTGCTGGGCTCCCACTTATTTTCTCCCTGTGGTGTTCCGGAGTTCTGCTCCATATCCACCAGAAAGCTGGCGGCCCACGGCTTTGGCGCATCCATGGCAGCAATGGTGTCCTTCCCTCCCCAGAGGTATCACTACTTTTTAGTGCTGGACTTTGAGGCCACGTGCGACAAGCCACAGATTCAACCTCAGGTAACTGTTGCATCATTGCTTCAGAAAAGGTGGGGTGGCAATGAGGGAGGGAGGATAGTCTTGCTTCCTGGGACCCAGAAGAACTTTCTCATGTCTTCCTGGCTTTTAGCTACTAATCTGGAGTTCCTGCCTAAGAAGCAGGACTTGGTTCAGGCATGCTAGGGTAAGGCAATCTCTGGAGAAAACCTGGTACATTATTCCTCTCGGCCTCACCCTTTGAGAAATCAAAATATATCCTTTGTCCCACCCTCCTCTCTCCTTTCCCTCCTCTCCTTTCTTCTGTTACTGCTGCATGTTCTTGAAGGAATACTGTGGTAGTCAGCCTCCAAGATGGTCCCCAGCAATCCTTGCTTCTTAATAGTCATACCCTTGATTGTTCCTCGTCCACACTGAATCTGCTAGCCTTGTATAACCAATACAATAGAGTGGAAGTGACATTCTGATACTAAGTCATAAAAAAAGCATTTCCGTCCACTTGCTCTTTGGATCACTTGTCCTGGCGGAAGCCAGCCACCATGCTCTGAGGGCATTTAAGCAGCCCTTTGGGTAGGCACGTGGATAGGAACTAAGGCTCTTAGCTAAAAGCCAGTACCAGCTTCCAGGCATGTTTCTTGGTGCTACTGTGTTTCCCCGAAAATAAGACATCCTCCGAAAATAAGACCTACTTACAAGTTTCCTTCTGAGTGAAATATAAGGCATCCCCCGAAAATAAGGCCCCCCCTAGGCTCTGTCTCAGAATGCTATTGCTAAACATGAGAGACTTGGTCCACTGATTCTGAAAGAAATGGAGTCACAAGAAATTCACCAGGAAATTCAGGAATTGGATTGTTATGATGATGTTCCAGAAGATGATGACATGATTGTCATTAAATAAATGAATAAATTCTTGATACTGTAGGATTCACAGTTTGTCTGGTTTGTGTTGACAACTACCGTACCATATACAGGTAATAAATTTCCTTTATTTTCATTTAACAATAAATGTGTACCATATTCTTCTTCATGGAAAAATAAGACATCCCTGGAAAATAAGACCTAGCACATCTTTGGGAGCAAAAATTAATATAAGACACTGTCTTATTTCCGGGGAAACAGAGTACCTTGGAAGTGAATCCTCCAGCCCCAGTCAAGCCTTTAGATAGCTCCAGCCCCAGTGGACATCTTCAACCTCAGGAGCCAGACTGGCCAACTGAGCCACTCCTGAATTCCTGGCTTACGAATTGTGAGAGAAAAGAAATGATTATTGATGTTTAAGCCACTAAATTTTGGGATGATTTGTTATGCAGCATTACATAACCTGAACAAGTACCACTGTTGGTCTGTGGGAGAGGAATATTTTTTTGCTTGTTTTTTTTCCTTAGCCACTGACTATATTAAGAGACCTTTTAAGTAGTGCTACTAGGAAGCTTGAATTAGCAGCAGAGGGACATCTATGCTGGGTAATCTTGGAGTGCTTGCTGTTTGCTTTGGAGGAATGGTTGGGAGGAATGAGTGGGAGCTGATAGGAAGTTCATTATGTCGTGGAGACCTTGGGTATGCCAGGCTCTAGGACTGTAATTCCTCCCTCTGAGCCTGGGTTATCAGGTGTATAGTTCTGGGATGCATAGACATATTGATCTTGGGAATAGTAAGAAGAGGGATAGGAGGACTGTGGCATCAGGCACTAGGGAGGAATAGGGTCCATTTAGAGATAAACTGGGTCCATTTCTCATGATTAATACCCCTACCACTATGAAGGTGTTCTTTCTTTAGAATTTCCATGAAGCAGATATCAGAACCCTTTTTCCTTCCCATTTCTCCTTTTCTTTTTTCCTATTCTCCCTTAAAGTAGTGTCTGCCTTTGAGGGAGTGGAATCAGACCTACTTAACCTTGGGAAGACAGGTGCAGATTGAGGAGCAAAAGGAAATATAGCTGGGAGGCTACCACATTTACTTTCTCAGTCCATGCTCTAGGGTCTTCTCCTCTGCCTTCCAGAACTATTGGAAATTCTGTGGTGGATGTGCCTAGATGGTGTGTGGGGATTTTGGTTTTGTAGATTCTCTTAGGCTGGAATCAGGGATCCATATCCTAATATACTATATTACTTCTCTTCCTGGTATAGAGTCTGAAACCCAACACATCCCTATTGCATATCATTTTATCCCTCGTGATTGCTTGGTACCTCCCTATGGCCTTTACTGCTTTCTTCCTCCTGGCACATGCCAACGAATGTTTATTTCTGAACTTTTCGGTTAGATTATAAGCTCAGATAATTATGTAGCTCTGTTCCCTTGTTCTACAGAGGGTCCTACCAAAGGAAGAAGGTCTGTCAGTATCACCTTTCATCTCTCTTTCAAGGGTACTGTTCTTTTTTTCTTTTTCTTTTTTTTTAGTTCTTTTTATTCACTTATTGCAATGCAGTACAGATTTAAATCGCCTGTATCACCAGCTTCCTTCCTAAAGTTAGGTACCAAGGCCTTTCAGATCTAGGCTGAGCTAGGGCTTCATGCTGTTTACCGGGATCTGGGCCTGATTAAAGATTATCTACAGAATCAATGAACCCTGATGATGTGATTCCAAGGGCACTTAAGGAATTGGCTGCCCTGCTTCATTATTAGCAAAGCATTAGCTGTTGCTTTAGAGAACTCAGGAAGAAGCATTTGCTGTCTTGCTTATCTTTAAAAGGGGAATACGAATGATCTTGGAAATTATAGACCCGTTAGTTTACTGTGATTCCAGAGAAGATACTTGACCTGATCGTCAGATAATCAATCAACAAACAGCTAGAAGAGCAGAGGGTACTGAGTAATAACTTACATGGGTTTGTGAAAAAGAGCAAATCCTGTCAGATCAATCTAACTTCTTGCCGTGACATAGTGATGGATTTGAGTGGATCTAGGGCAAGTGATAAATGTAATGCATCTCTACTTCATTAAGCTTTACAATGCTGTGATCAACAGGTAGGAAAGTGAGTTTGGGGCCAGGCAGCTCTGCTGGACTACCCATTGAACCAGTCTCGGGAAAGGGATGGGCAGCTCAGGAAAGACTTGAAACTTACTGTTAACTGGAGGCCCAGTGTACAACATTTGTGCACCTGGAAGGGAGTGTTCCTCTGCCCGGCCTATGCCCTTTCACAGCCTGGGAGCCCACAGAGAGCAGGCCTAAGGCGCAGTCAGACATCCTTAGCACTGCTGCGGAGGCAAAGAGGCTCCTGCCCCCTGCTACTGCTGCGCTCACCAGCCGTCAGCCCGCTTGTGGCTGAGCGGTGCTCCTCCTGTGGGAGCACACTGACCACCAGGTCAGTAGCTTCTTTGTTGAGTGTCTGTCCCCTGGTGGTCAGTGTGCGTCATATCGACCGGTGGTTCTGCCATTTGGTCGATTTGCATATTACCCTTTTATTATGTAGGAGGGCAACTTAAAGCCCCCATCTTATTCTTAAAACAAACAAAAATCTTCCCTAAAGTTTGCAGGAAACAAGATCCTGAAAGGATTCAGAGAATTTTAGAAGATGGACTAGAGAAGCTGTCAGTCCCTGATATGACAGCAACCTTCCACTGAGGTCATATAGGTCAGGTTCTCATTAGAGCCTCTGTAGTATTTTGGTCTAATGGTCAAGAAGGACATTGGAGAAATTGGTAAAGCTCAGGATAAGAGGAACAAAAATCATCAGAGGCACAAAGATAAGACTTAGGAAGAAAAGAAATTGAATATGGTTTTAGTGACTGATTTCTTGTTCAGACTAAATAAATTCATCATATGGTAAGTAATTGTTCCAAGGAGGATGATAATAACTTGCTCCTCATTTTAATAAGGACAAAAAGAAAAAAAAAAGAAATGAATTTAAATGGAAGCAGAAAGACTCAGACTTGGAATGAGAATGCACTTCTAGTAGTGACAGTAAAAGCACTAGGAAATGGTGTGCCAGTTAGAACAGCCTTCCCTAGTGCTCTCTCTGAATGGCTTGATGGCTGTCAACTTGACAGAGAGACTTTTTGGGCAAGTCTGCATGCCTCCTGGAATGGGCTTGGGACTGAATCAGAACCCATCCAGCTCCCCTCCTTCCTGGCTTCCAAGAACTTTTAATACTGAAGGCCTCTGCATAGTACACTTCTGATTCTTATGGGAGTGTGTCATAAACAAATTTTTGGCCAGAGCCTATCTGGAGGCTTGGCATTGGGTTCATTCTCTCATCTGTGTCTGAATCAACTTATTGGGACTATCCTAAAGGAATGCCACTATGAAAAATTAACAGTTGTAAACTCGGTTGTACTTGGGTGAGTAACAATATTACTTATAAACATAGTAAAGCATGATATTTTCCGCTTGTCATCATTTTTGTTGTTATTTTTGTACTTTGTTCAGTTTGGTGAGACTAGAATGGCCAGTTTGCCAGTAGTAGGCTTTTGCTTTCTGTTTTTTCCCCCCACTTATTTGTCTTACATACTTTAATTCAGATTAACATAATAGGTATTGGTTGAATATGAGACTTCTTCTATTCGAGGACATTTTTTCACTTTATTTTTAATTTGAATGGTTGAAGATGTTACATAGGCTCTAAATTTGAGGAATACTATTACTTTCCTGCTTTAAAAATTGTTTCTTGATACGGAAGTAGGTTTGGGAGAATTGTGATCCCTTTATTTTGCTTGCAGAGGTTCGTGCTGCTCATTTTGGTGGGGATGTGCATGGAATGGTGGTGGTTGTAACTCCCGGGCCCAGGGAGCAGCTGAAAGTTCTGGTGGGATTTTAACTTGCGGGCACTTCTCTCACCATCTCTGTTCAGAAAAGACCAAAGCAAATGTAAGTGAGGAAAACAAGGTATAGTCCACCGCAGGAGGTGAGGAGGAAGTAACCTGAGCTGTCCTGGTGGCCAGGGATGGGCAGCCCAGCTCTCCTGCTCTGGGGATCACACACCCTGGCTGCTGTCTGCCCTCCTCCCCTGAGTTCCTCTGGCCATCCAGCCTCCCGGGTATAGTTTGTTTCTCACTGCTCTGTAGCAGCTTTGCTAACTGTGCCCTTC